AATGCGGCAAGGAGGTGCACTTTGCGCACCACATTTCCATTATGCGATCGCAAAGTGCACCGCATTTTTGGCCCTCCAGCAACTCAAATTGAATCCACCGCATAACACGTATGCGGTCGCATAATGTGTTATGTGGTGACTTACCCATCGCAAATCTCCCAAGTAAGTCCCTCGCATCTCTTCAGCTTTCACACAATTTCAAAACAAAAAGAAATTTTCTTTATCAGAAAGAAACAAAACAAAACAAAAGAAAGAGAAAGAAGAAGACAAAATGGCTAGTGAATCAAACATAAGGCAACATCTGTGAAATCATCTCCCAAGTTTGCTCGTTAATCCGTCACTGGTACGTTGTTCTTGTCCCGATTTCATCCTTGAAAACTTTAGTTTCAATTTTGCTTTTGTTCCTCCTGTTTTTCTTTTGTTGTTTCCTGTTTTCGTTTCCCTTTTTATAGTTGGGTTTCTATTCATGATGCGAGGGGGTTCTTGGATAGGTAATTAGGTCTAGGGTGCTGGGTAGTGAAACCTAGGTCCGCCATTATTGAGGGTTGAATTCGAAGGATTGAGAACGATGGGTTTTGCGGATCGAATAATCAAATTGCGGTCCGCATTTTTAATGCAAAAGCGAACCCTAGTTGGCTGAAGAAGATGACAAAATGCAGCAACTTTCCGATCACATAATTAATATGAGGACCGAAAAGTCACCGCATACTGAGACAGTTTGCCTGATTTTGTAACATGCTATTTGCGGCCAATTTGCGATCGCATATCCAACTTTGCGGTGGACTTTGCGATCGCATTTTGTGATTATGTTTTCTAAGAATTTAAGTATGCGATGGTTATGCGAATCACATAATGGATATGCGATCGCATAATCCATCGCATACCTAGATCATTATAGCAGGCAGAGAGTTTACGCCAGGTTTGCGGTCCGCATAGTGGTTATGCGATCGCATAACCTGTCGCATACTTGCAATTTTTGGTATTTTGTCTATTACTTGCCTACCATGTTGCTCACATTTCATTTTTGTGCAGGTATGACTCCCAAGAAACATACAACCTCTTCCGAGAAAAGGGCATCCACTAGTCGTCAAACTCAACAAGCAAAATGTTCATGACCGGACCCTACTGTTACACTTCCCTCCTAGTCTTATGAGGAGGAGACCTTGCCCTCAGTTGACCTACAAGCTGAGGCAAGAAGGAAACAAGGAGATGACTTCCAGCTCAGATTTGGGGTCGAAGGGTCCAGGGAGCTATATAGAGAAGGGCTAACAAAATGAAAAATCCTGGCCGAAAAACAATTAAGTTTGAATGGGTTACAAGAGCAGTACCCCCACATATGGGAGAACATCAAAGCAAGAAAATGGGAGTGCTTCACTGGTCTGCCTGATGACTATAATGAAACATTTGTCTATGAGTTTTATGCCTCGTATGGAGCCTCCAGGACTGCTCACAACAAGCGCAACAAGGTCTTCTGTGACACTGTATTGGTTCGGGGGACGTAAGTTTTCTGCAGTAATGAGACCATCAATGAGTTTTACTTCCCTGACTAGAGCCTGGGCATAGCTGAGTATGCTGCTAAATGGGAAAACCAGGATAATGAGCGTAGCTGGATAGCTTCTGTGATAACCAAGGGGACCCCTGCTTAGATCAACCCGTTGCACAAAATATTCAAGGAGGATCTCACATGAGAGGGTAGATTTTGGCTTAGCTTTGTCACCTCTCGATTGATACCGTCCAGAAACGAGACTGATATAAGCATTGAGAAAGCTCTTCTTATTGCGTGCATTATGGCGGGAATCAAGATTGATGTGGGTGATTTTATCTTCTGAGAGATAGGGATCCTGGCAAAACAGACAACCACATCACTTCCATTCCCCTGCTTGATCACAACCCTCTGTAAGGCTGTGAAAGTCCCTACCATGTCACATACTGACAAGACAGGGAAGACACTGAAGGATATTGATATCACGCGCATTAATGATGCAGCAGATATTGCTCCCCTAGAGGTTTAGACTCAGGTTCCTGCTGATGTAGAGCCCTCAGATTCCCAGACTCCGGTGTCTCCTCAGGCTCCAGTTGCATCCACTTCTACTTCACAACCCACCTCTCAGTCCACCATTGCTCAGCCTTCTGCTACACTGCCAGCGGTTTTGAGGCTTGGTCTCTTAGCTCAATATGCCAATGCTAAGGTAGACAAGCTTCTGAAGAACCTCCCCGTCCTCATCAAGCAAGCATGACCCCTATCCAGTCCTCATTGATGGCACTCCAACAACAACAAACATCTTATGGGGATCGCTTGACGCAGCTTGAGGTGCGGGTTGAGAAGATAGAGCGGGATGAGGTTAGCGACTTGCCAAAGATCCGGGAAGAAGTTGCCTCTATGAAGATTGAACTCCACAAAATACAGACTTTGGAGTTTGATCTATCATCCTTCCTGCTCAAGGAAGGTGAGCAGGGAGTAGACACAACAGTACCTGGATTAGATCTTGACTTCTCTACACTGATAACAGACACTGCACCTTAGACTGCCGGGGCTTCCCAACCTCCAGCCCCCCTGCACATATTGACATTCCTTCTAAGGAGGATTCCGGACACTCTGCAGAGTCTGAAGGTGGGGAGGCAGACGAGGGAGAGACTAAGGATGATTCATGGTCTGAGGAGGATGAAGGCCCTCAGGAGAAGGGTAAGCAGGTTGTTGTCCCTACAGTTGAGGATGAAGAACAAGCAGCCATTCAAAAGACTATAGCACATTCGCTAGCAGACATGGTCACCCCTGCAGATCCATCGACCACTCAGCCATCAGCGGGCGAGGCTAGCAGCTCACAAGCCTCAGCTCCAGTGTTGGTCCAGCCAGAGATCCCTCCTCCATCAGTGGAGGTCATTCCTCAGGCCGAGATCTCATTGGTCCCAACTTCAGCATCCGAGGGTGACCCCACCATCATTCAGTCGGCTTCCGACTCCCATAGCACTTAGTGCACCTCAGTGAGCCCCTAAACTCTATTTTACATTCTTATGCATTGGGGACAATGCATGCTTTTTAGTTGGGAGTGGGATAACCTTGTATAAATTTTTGTGAATCCAACTGTTGTACATGTTTATACTTTTGTACTATATAAGCAAACTTCTGCATATATTGGTGCTTTGTGGTTTTAGTACATAAGTTATCTTTGTATATAAAAAAAACAACAAAAACAAAAACAAAAACAAGTAGATAGTTGTATGTTCATCTTTAGTAATTAGCAATGAATTCCCCTTGGTTTTTCTTTGTCGGGTTCTTTTCCAAGGGTGTAATAGTAGAACCAAGGCGGTAGAATGAAACATTTTGACCGGTTTGGTGTAATTGTCTAGTTTCAAGTATGTGTGTCTGTATATAGCCTATACCCTTCCATTAATATAGAAAAAGAGAGATCAATTGTGTGAATTTGAGGATCGCTCTTTGACTCTATGTCTACCTAGAGTTATACTTGTAAATATGATGAAAGCTTTGAGTTTCCAAGTGTTGACTCGAGGGCTAAAAACTATGTGAGCCAAACAGTTCGTGTGCCATGTGTGTGAGTCTTTGTGTAAATAATTCTTTTGTTTACTTCTGCCATCTAGAACTAGCCCGGTTGGTTTTTCGATGCTTATAATAATTACATTTGGTTGGAGAAATGACCTTAGGCCGTCTTTATGATTTTGGAAAACCAGTTAGCCTTTCAAGACACCCATTGTACATATAGTATCACTAGTCACCCCACTTGAGCCTTTAACCTTTTCTTTAGCTACCTCATTACAAACATTTTCCTTTTTGTAAAATAATTCCCTCTTTTGAACCCGTCCCTATTTGAATATTGAGAATGAGGCTAAAAGCCTAAGTTGGGGGTGTGGTGTCAAGCCGGAAATTAGCAAGGTTGTGTAGTGAGTGTAAGAAAGTGTACCTCAAGGTGTGAAACTACTCAAACTCCAAAAGCAAAATAAAGAAAAAACAAAAAAAAGTTGTAAGTATATATACATATGGAGTCTTGAAGAAAATTAAAGAGGTAGTTAAGGTGGCTCAATGTTGGAAAAGTAGAAGCTAATGAGGGCTATGTGGTTTGAAAAGAAGCAAAGAGCAACACGAAAGAAAAATGTGAGTAGTGTTCAAGGAGGGTGTAGTCACTTGTAACCAAATGCTTATCCGACCTTTCCCTAAACCTACATTACAAGCTTAAAGAGTCCTTATGGGATCTCCAACCGAACATTCTTAGAATAAACCGAGGAATTAAAATAAGGGCAAGCCTATGGTATGGTATGTTGTAACACTTGAAACCTTTTTGAGAGTGAGTACATTTGTGAACTCGTCCCTTTTTGTTGTCAGTATAAATATTGTGAGTTTGAGACTTTCTTTATAGCAAGGTCACATGAATTGTGAGGTTGGACAGAAGTTAAGTTTTTGAGTCAAATGCAAGTGTACTCAGCTGAGGGTAACATTTTGTCAAATTGGTCGAGGCTCAAACTTTCACAAGTTGATTAGTTTCTTTGTAAATACTGATGGTTCAGGAAGGGTAAACAATCGAAAATGCATGCTTGTAATACTGACAACTAACACCATTCGCGGTCACTATTGTTTCATATCATTTAGATGGAGTCTAGAATAGGATAGTGTCTTTTTAGTTGCTTGAGGACAAGCAAGAGTTTAAGTTGGGGGTGTTGATGTGCCGGAGAATTTCGGCTCATTTAATATAAATTGCTTAGATTTTAGATTATTTTAAATGCAATAATCTTTTATACTTATGTAATTTTAGTATTTTTGCAGTGCATGAGGTTTAAGGACCTAAGAGCATGAAAATGAAATCAAAAAGCCACAAAAAGACAAGATAAGAGCAAAATGCATCGCAAATGTAGAAATGCAGACCGCAAATCCAACATGCGGGTCGTATAATGCTCAACGGAATCGCAAACCCTAACAGTTTGTTGGCCAAAGTCCAATGCAAGAAATGCGGTCCAATATGCTATCGCATAATAGGTTTGCAGGCCGCATAATGGACCGTAAACTTGTTGTGAAAATTGCTGAAGGTGGAAAATGCGATGAGAAATGTGATCGCATATCTACAGTGTGGACCGCAGAACGTGAATACGATGAAGACCTGGGAACTAGGGTTTGAAGATGCTATGTCCATGACGAGAATGCGGACTGCATGTCTGTTATGCGATAGATATGCAGTCGCATAATTGACCGAAAAGGTATTTTTGTCCGATTTTTGTCTCGCGTTTTGACCCACTATAAATAGATTTATTGGGGTTTTGTGGGGGCATCTTGTCTTGTTTTTGAGCTACATTCCAAGTCTTTAATATTACTCTCTTTTGGATGCTTTTGAAGGAAGAATCTTGCTCTTTGTAAACTTTATGGCATTAAATATTCTCATGCTTTTGTATTTGAGTATGTGTAGCTAACTTTAAATATTAAGGTTGTGGACCCTAAATGGGTGTTATGTTAATAGGTATTTAACATTGAATATATGTATAATGGTTGGTTGATATATATTTATTTCTCATTCTTCATTTATTGTTGGTGGTTGCAAACATTAACAAGTGCCATTAAATTCTTTCTTTACTTGGAAAAGTGGGTTAGGACTTGGTAGAAGTAAATATCAAAGACTCAAGGCTTTAAACCTTGTTTAATAGAATCGCTTAAGAATAGGTGGGTTTTATTTGGCATACATTGATTGTGCTTAATTGCAACTCTTTTATATTTGGAATAATCATAAAGAGGAAATACTACCCAACTATTGGAAAATATTGGGTAGTCATTTAGAAATCATTGGCATATCTAAAGAACCTTCCATAAGAAATATATCGTATTAACACCGATAGTATTACACTTCATTGAAGGGGACACAACCTTAGTTTCCTTAATCAAATTATTTACATTCTCAACATTACAATTAGTTATTTCTTCAAACCAAAATCACATCATACTCTTGTTAAAATTAACCAAATAGAATTACGACTTAAGTCAAGTAACACACTACTCGAGTAACCTTTTCACGCCTATTCCCTGTGGGATTCGACCCCAACCTTGTTGGATTATAATATTTGACACCGACCGCCTTACACTATTGAATTGAAGTGTAATTTGAGCGTATCAATGTGTAAATCTACTAAAAGAACCAACACCACCTCTTGATCTTTTGGAAGTTTTCTTACTACCACCTCTACTAGTGCACGCTTTTTTGGCCGCTCTAAATAAATCCATTATGTAAATTAAATTAATAATTCTAAATAATAAAATAAGTGTACACCAAATAAGAGAAAGAGATGGAACGAGTGTACCGGGATTCCGAATGCCGCACTAATTTTGAATTTTTGATATCAAAAATCAAACTTCAATTGATAAACCGAAACTTGATAGTTGATACTTGATACTTGATACCACACTTTACTTGAATACTTGATATTTAATAATAATAATTTTGTAATAGCTAAACTAAATAATTGCTGAAACTTGAAATAATAAATAATTGAGAATTTGAGATTTGAGAATTTAAGAACTATAATATCAAGAGAGAATTAGAATAGTAAGAGAGTGAATTGTGAGAAAAAATGAAGAAGAAGGGGGGCTATTTATAGATTTTAAAAGGTTAAAAATGTAATTTTTCAATTATTAGGGGTGAGAGGGCTATATTTTTAATGGGGGAGGCTGAAATGGCCATTTTCGCAAAATCTGGCCGTTCCCCAACGGTCATTTCTCAATTTGACCGTTGGCAACAGTCCAATTATTTTTTTAAAAAAACATCAGCAACGGTAACGGGGCTCCTAACAGGTTGCAGCCCGTTAACAACCCGTTAATGGGTCACGGGCTACGCGGGTTCAGTGCACCGTTAAGCAGAACGTGTTCGTCCAAAACCCGCCCCCCAACCAACCCATCCCAGCCCGTGCAATAGGGAACAATACCGGGGTGACCCGGGTTGAAGCGGGTTGAAAACGGGTCATTCCGACCCGATTAACACCCATACTAGACGATCAGCAGCAGCAAACTCTGATCGTTGAATTTCAAACTCTAGAATTGCAGAAGCTTCTCTTCCGATTTGAAACTATTGAATTCAACTTTCTCGTCCAAAAATAACATAAATTTACAATAAGTTATGCTTTTGTATGTTTCTATTGATTTTTATTTCGTTACCATGAATTTGATGCTAGGAATTTGATATTTGTTTTTTGAATTTTTGGATTGATAAGGTTAAGGACATCACGTCTTGTGATAATTCTATAACAATTGAGCACATAATTTAAGGATTTGGTGTCCTTAACATGACCGTTGTTGCTAATATTAAGGACATAATGTCCTTTCAAATTGAATTGAAAAAGTTAAGGACACAATGTCCTTAACTTTTTTGCTGTTCTTCTAAATATTAAGGACATACTGTCATAGTTTTGCAAATTATTTTGAAAACGTTAAGGACACTTGGTCCTGAAGTTTTAGTTTCAAGTTGAAAAGTTAAGGATACTTGGTCCTGAACTTTGACTTATATGTTCAAAAGTTAAGGACACTTGGTCCTTAACTTAGACTTACAAGTTAAAAAGTTAAGGACAGGCAGTCCTTAACTTCAATTTCAAGTTCAAAAGTTAAGGACACTTGGTCCGTAACTTTGAATTCCAAGTTGAAATGCTAAGGACACTTGGTCTTGAAATTTGAGTTTCAAGTTGAAAAGTTAAGGACACTTGGTCCTGAAGTTTGAGTTTGAAGTTGAAAAGTTAAGGACACTTGATCCTGAACTTTGACTTACATATTCAAAAGTTAAGGATACTTGGTCCTTAACTTAGAGTTACAAGTTAAAAAGTTAAGGATATGTAGTAACTTCATGTTTCAAGTTCAAAAGTTAAGGACACTTGGTCCTTAATTTTGAATTCCAAGTTCAAAAGTTAAGGACACTTGGTCCTGAACTTTTATTTACAAGTTCAAAAGTTAAGGACACTTGGTCCTTGAAGCAGTGATATGGTTTGATTTCAACCTTGGAACAAGCAAGGGAATGCTTGTATCCAAAGATTTAGATCTTCACACATGTATAGAGTTACTAAAAAGTCATTCACTCTTCAAAGGCTGTCGTTTCATTGTTGATATTTCGGAAAGAGTTTTTGGATCAACAAGCACCTTTGAACATGTCAACAGAGAAACTCAACATGACAATTAAAACAAATGCCAACAGATAATGGAAATAGATATGGTTGAAGCTCAACTAATAATTGAAGAGGTGCTTCAAACATTTGATTCTATTCAAGTAAAAGGACAAAGCATTATAGAGATTGACAACGAACAAGCTTTGGGTATTCAAGTCTTAGAGAGTGCACTGGTAATCGAAGAAGGGTCTGAAAAAACCTCTACTCAACTAACTAGACGAGGGTCAAATTTGAAAATAAAAGAATCCCCAACTACAATATTAAGAGAAAATGCTTCGTTAGATGAAATTAGGAGTGGCAAACGGGAAGGTCGGGTCGGATATAGTTCGGGTCGTAAACGGATAATGAAAAAATGGATCAATTATCCGACCCGACCCATATTTAATACGGATAAAAAATAAGTTAACCGGCAGATAATGTGGGTTACCCATATTATCCATGACTTCTTGTATATGATCACTTTTGGGAGAATTCTTAGTCTCCTTAACTTGAGGAACCCATGAATCTTTACAAATGTAAAAGTTAGACCCATTGGTTATCTATTGGTTACTCATTGGTTATCCATTTTCTAAATGGATAATATTGTTCTTATCCATATTTGACCTATTTTTAAAAAGTTCATTATCCAACCCATTTTTAGTGGATAATATGGGTGGTTAACTGTTTTCTTTGAACCATTTTGCCAACCCTAGATGAAATAAAAGTGGGATCAATATTTGACAAAAAGAAGAGTATATTTAACTATTTTTCGAATATAGCAATTAAAGGACATTTTGAATTCAAGGTTGTTAGATCAAGCTCAACAAGATATTCGTTGAAATGCAATGACGATAGGTGTGGGTGGTGTGTGCGTGCTTTCAGAATTAAAGATTCAACACTGTTCAAGATAGTAAAGATTGAGAAAAATCATGACTGCTCTATTAACACTATGAAAGCTTATCAAAGGCATGCAACTTCAAAGTTGATTAGTGGTTACATTATTGACAATCTTCGAGACCCAAGGTTTGAAGTTACACCAACTTTTGTCATGGCAGAAATGCACAAATTGCATGGACTATACATTGGGTATCACAAGGCGTGGCGTGCTATTCAATGTGCTTCTGCTTTAATAAGAGGAACTCTTGAAGAGAATTATGAATTATTATCTTCATACTTGTATATGATGAGAAGTAAAAACCCGGGAACATATACTAACATAAAGATAGACGACAACAATAGGTAAACAATCAAAAAAGAATTTATTAGTCTGTTTTATAAACTTTAGGACATGTTGTCTTTAACCAGTTAAAAAGTTAAGGACGTGTTGTCCTTAACTTTCATGTGTGCAGTAAAAAATTTAAGGACACTTGGTCCTTAACTTAGAATTGCAAGTTATAAAATTAAGGACATGGTAACCTTAACTTTTGACCTTGTTAGTCTAAGTTAAGGACTCCACGTCCTTAACTTTTGAACTTTGAACTCAAAGTTAAGGACTGCATGTCCTTAACTTTATAACCTGTAACTCTAAGTTAAAGACTCCCTGTCCTTAACTTTTGACCTTGTTAGTCTAACTTCAGGACTACTTGTCCTTAACTTTTGGCATTGTAACCTGAAGTTCAGGACTACCTGTCCTTAACTTTTGACCTTATTAGTCTAAGTTAAGGACTGCTTGTCCTTAACTTCTGTTAACCATGTTTTATACTGTATTTTCAGGTTTCTTTATATGTTTTATGCATATAGATCATCAATATCTGGTTGGAATCATTGTAGACCAGTGATTGTTGTTGATGCAACTTTTTTGAAGTCAAAATTTCGTGGTGTTATAATGATTTCAGTTTCAAAGGATGCCAATAACCAAATTTTTCCACTAGCCGAATAGCAGAATCTGAAAATAATAATTCCTATGAGTGGTACTTTAGTGAGCTTCGCAATGTAATTGGGAGCCGTAAGAATTTAATTTTTTTATCAGACATGCATCAATCTATTGCATATGCCATCGCAAAGGTATATCCTGAAAGTCACCCTGGGATTTGTATCTACCATTTGGAGCAGAACCTAAAGCGAAGGAAAGTGAAAAGTGAGGTCATAAAACCTTTTCAAACTGCTGCAAGAGTATACATGCGCAAAAAATTTGATCTTTACATGTTAGATATAGCAAAAGTAGATAAGAAGACTTATGACTACTTAATAGAAGAACTACCGGAAAGGTGGGCACGTTCTTGTAGTTCACGACGAAGATATGACATGCTCACAACAAATATAGTTAAGTCAATGAATTCTGTCCTATTAGAAGCAAGAGAGCTGCCTATATTAAGAATGATGGATTTCATTCAAGTGAAGCTACAACGTTGGTTTTATAAAAGAAGAAATGAAGCAGAAGGAACTTTTTATGATGTTTCTTATTGGGTAGAGGAGGAATTAAAGAAAAATATAGATTTAGCATTTACTTTGAATGTACGTATTATATTCTATGTTTAGGTTATTATTTTAATATAAGCTAACATAATGTACTAACTTATATTTTTTCAACATTGAAGGTCTTCCCTGTTGATTCATGGCGTTCTAGAGTTGAAGAAGAAGGAATAACTTTCTTGGTGGACTTAAACAAAAGAACATGTGATTGTTTTCAATTTCAATTTGATGAATTACCATGCATACATGCAATTGCAGCTATCGAGAAGAGAAACATCAAGAAGTCCAACTTTTGCTCGCACTGGTACTTAAAGGAATCTTGGCTGAAAACATATGAAAGACAAATACATCCTATAGGACATACTGATTCTTGGATTGTACCAGAGAATGTTAAGTCACAAATTGTTAAACCTCCACATTTCAAAGTGCCACCAGGTAGAAGGTAGAAGAAAAGGCATATTCCAGCTACCGATTCATCAAAAATAACATTCAAATGTGGTCGTTGCAGAAGAACTGGTCATAATAGAACAACTTGTATATATTCTCCGGCAGTACATCCATTTTCAAGAAAGCATAGAGAATAGTAGATATAACCACTTATGTTTATCGACTCTTTTAAGTTTTTTCTATAAATTGGATTCATCTAGATTATTCTTATTTGAGCAGATATCTGAATTTTCAAATGTCACGACCCTAAACCCGGACCCGGTCATGATGACACCTCTCGTGAAGACAAGGCCAGCCGACACATTTCCAATTCATTTTAAGCAATTAAGTAATAAAACTAAGTCTTTAACATAATAATAAGAATCCCAAAATAAGGTATTTAATACAGTTGCAGAATAGACATAGCCCGACATCGGGGTGTCACCAGTCATGAACATCTATCATAAAAACTACAAGTCTGAAAAGAGTCTACACAACTATTACATAACTAAAACTAAAGATAATAAGATAGAGGGAGAAGCACTGGGCTATGAATCGTCGGGCAGCTACCTAGTGAATCTCCGGAATCTGCTGGAAGCTCTCTCAACCCTCGCAAGCAGGACCTGGTGTGCCTGAATCTGCATACGGGGTGTAGGGAGTAAAGTGAGTTCTCCAACTGTGACGACCCCAGTTCTCCCTCCGTGAACCATCCTAACGGCAGTCTCTAGGTAATAAGAAACCACGTAAAGGCACATAAACAGACTATAATGAAGCAGTAAAAGCCAGTAAAAACAATGAAACAGTGGAAAATAGGTAAAGTCACTTTAGTTCAGTTAAAACTTCTTTGGAATGCCTTTTTAATAGTTAAGCAAGTAAATGATAGGCAACTAGGAAAGGTAAACACATAAAGAACCGCCCCTGGGGCACAATACCAACAGAATCAGCCCCTCGGGCAACACATGGAACAATACCAGCCCCTCGGGCTATATCTCACATCAGATTGGGTACCTGCCATCACTGGGAGTGTGCAGACTCTTGGAGGGTCCCCTTACGGCGCAAGCACAATATTAAGCCATCTCGTGGCGTACAATCTCTGGCCCTCAGCCTCAAAATCATAAATCGATGTGATGACCCAATGGGAGCTTTGGGCGATTTTAAAGAGAGAAATCAAAGAAACTTCGTTGAGGTAAGGATTTTGGACTTAAAACACATTTCTATGGTAGAATTTCATGAATTAAGGCTGTAATTAATGGGATTAAAGGCCTAAAAATAGAGGATTAGGGCTTGAGTTTAAGAGGCCTTTAATGGAGGATTTGAGGGGTCCTTTGAACTCCGATTTTGGTATTCTTGATATGTATGGACTTGTGGGGAGATGAGGAATCTATTGATGTTTGTGGGGAGATGAGGAATCTATTGATGTTAAAAAATTTTGAGTTTCAAGAAGTGGGCCCGGGACTCGGGTTTTTGCTAATTTCGGGATTTTTGGTATTTTTCGATTATTTTCGCTTGGGCTTTGTTCCCTTAGCATATTGTGACGTATTCGTTCTAATTTTGGATAGATTCGACGTGAGCGGGGGCCGATTTGAGGGGCAAAAGCATCGCGGAGTAGTATTTTCACCGGTTTGAGGTAAGTAACCATTGTAAATATGGAATTGAGGGTACAAAACCCCGATACTTGACTCGATTTGATAAGAGCGATGACACACATGCTAGGTGACGAACGTGTGGGCGTGCACCGATAGGGATTGTGACTTGGTCTGTCCCATAACGACTATTAAGCCGCGTATTTGATTTGGAAATCTTACATTATTCTGTATTTCAGTCTTTTATACTGTATTATGGCATGTATGACATGTTTGGGGCCTTGTGCCGACCTGTAGAAACCCTTAGGGGCATTTCGACTGTTCTTCCTCACTTTACTTGTTAAGAAACCATATCCTCCATCATGTTTTTACCTGTTTAAATGATTAAAGCTGGTTTTATCACTCTATTCCTAAATGCGAGGATTGTTTGGGCTGAGATCCCTACCTTCTTTTATTGTGCCCGAGAGGCTGTGAGGTTAATGACTGAGAGAGGTTGAGAACCCAATTGTGAGGATATTATATGTATATATAATAGATCGGGCTGCACGCCGTAGCGATACTTATATGGACCGGGTTGCATGCCGCAGCGATATATATATTAGATCGGGCTGCACGCCGTAACGATATGATGCTTGGGCTGTAGGAGCCTTTCCGGAGTCTGCACACCCCTAGTGAGCGTAGTCGACTATAAATATATGGATCGGGCTGCACGCCGCAGCGGTTACTATGATTCTAATATTATGAGGTTATGAATGAGCTGAGTGCTGAGAGTGAGTACTGCGTGACAAGAGTTGAGGCACGAGTGACTAAGAGGCTGTCCGAGGGGCCATATTTTGAGTGATTCCTTGCCCAAAGGGCCTTGTTATGCTGTTTTCACTATTTCACTCTTCCTTTAAACTAAGCCTCTGTTGGGAAATACTGCTAAGTATATGATTTCAATTTTTAAACTGAAAGTGTGGATCTTATGACGAAACTGGTTTTAAACTGTTAGATGAGCTATAATCCTGTTGCTATTTTCAGTTATATGATTTTAAACTTCTCGTCACTACTATCAGTCTTTATTTACTTTAGTTACTTATTGAGTTGGCGTACTTACGTTACTCCCTGCACCTTGTGTGCAGATCCAGGTGCCCGAGGGGTAGAGCGAGGGATTTCTGCTAATTCAGTGTTCGCCGGAGATTACAAAGTAGCTGCATGGCATCCGCAGCCCTGCCTTCTCCTATCTATCCAATTTATTTTCACATTTCCTAGACTTGATGTACTAGATGTTCAGTTATGTATTAGAGGCTCTAGACTCGTGACACCAGATTGTTGGGGCTGTGTAGTATCTGCTATTTTGATTTTCCACATTTTTTTGTCATTATAATACTTATAAAGAATTCTGCATTTAAAACTTGTGCTAGAAAAATGGATTTATGTTAATAGCAAATGGGTTGTGGTTATGGATTTGTCGGCTTGCCTAGTAATGTGATAGGCGCCATCACGACCGGTATTTGGGGTCATGACAATCAGTGTATCCTCACAACACAAGCCCTCGACCTTGCTTAGTCTGAATCTCATAAGCCACTCGGGCAATAGTAAAACATGATTCTCAGCCCAAATTATCATTTAAATTATCATTTAATGTATTAAAATAGAGTAAACATGGCTGAGTTATGAAAATAGTAGAATATAACATGACTGAGTACAAGTATAAAGTCAAAACAGTGAGAAAATATCAGTAAAAATCCCCTAAGGGTCCAAATAGTTGTCATTCGGCCCAAATATGGCATTCAACCCAAAACATGATGATAGCAAGTAGTTTTTAATCAAATTCACGGTAAAACCATCATACGGGATGGACTAAGTCACAATCCCCAATGATGCACGGCCACACGCTCGTCCTAGCATGTGCATCACCTCAATATAGCACAACGATGTGAAATCCGGGGTTTCATATCCTCAGGACAACATTTTACAATCATTACTCACCTCTATCCGGTCCAATCTCTAGCCCGCGATGCCTTTGCCCCTCTAATCGGACTCCGGATGCTCCAAATCTAACCAAAATCAGTGCAAAACCATCAAAATATTCTAAGGGAATAAAGTCCACTCGAAAGAAATTAAATTACAACACAAATCCCAAAATTGGCCAAACTCGACCCCAGGCCCACATCTCGGATTCCAATAAAATTTACACCAATAGACTCCTTATCACTCTCCGAGTTCATTCATACCAAAAGCATCAAAATCCAGCCACAAACCCTCAAATCCCAAATTCTAGGTCTCCAATTACAAGCCCTAGTTCTTCAATATTAGGCTTAAATTCCGTGATTAATTAGGTAGAATTCACATAAGAATCGAGTATTAAGTCCATAAATCTTACCTCCAAGTGTTTCCCTTTGAATACCTCTTCAATCCTCTTCAAAAAGCTCCAAAATCGCTCAAAAATGGTGGAAGTTAACCCTAAAATCGCGAACTAAGTGGCTATTAAAACATTCTGCCCCAGGCATCCATTCCTTCTTCGCGAACGCGGTCAATGCCTCGCGTTCGCGAAGCACAAATTAACTTTGACTAAAATTCCTTCATCGCGATCTCGATCCCCAGCTCGCGAACGCAAAGACTCACCTGCTAACCCTCCACGAACGCAAGGGACACATAAGTTAATATCCGATTGACTTTTCCAACTTAAGATTCCTCAAAAGAGACTAAGTGTCTCAAACCTTACCAAAACCTTTCCGAACCCAAGCCAACCAACCCGATCACACATAGAATTGATCAACCAAGAAATAAGAAGCAGAAATGGGGGAAACAGAGCAGTAACTCATGAGACGACTGACCGGATCGTCACATCCTCCCCCTCTTAAACAAACGTTCGTCCTCAAACGAGTCAAGAAACATACCTGAAGCCTCAAACAGGTGAGGATATCTGCTCCGCATCTCCTGCTTAGTCTCCCAGGTAGCCTCCTCCACGGGCCGACCTCTCCACTGCACTTTCACCGAAGCTATATCCTTTGATCTCAACCTTCGAACCTAACTCTCCAAAATAGCTGCTGGCTCTACATCATAAGTCTAATCACTATCCAACTAAACCGTGATAAAATCCAGAACATGAGACGGATCCCCAATATACTTTTAGAGCATAGAAACATGAAATACCGGATGCACACTCGATAAGCTGTGTGGCAAAGCAAGCTCATAAGCCACCTCCCCAAACCTCCAAAGCACTTCAAAAGTCCCAATGAACCGAGAACTGAATTACCCTTATTCCCAAACCTCATAACACCCTTCATGGGTGAAACCTTCAACAGAACCTTTTCACCAACCATGTAGGACACATCCCAAACCTTTCTGTCAGCATAACTCTTTTGTCTCGACTGCGCTGTACGAAGCCTTTCCTGAATTACCTTCACCTTTTCTAAAGCGTCCTGCACCAAGTCTGTCCCCAATAGCCTAGC